TTAAATTGGATTTGCAACGATGTGGATGGAACTAGAGGGTATTATGCTAAGTGAAATAAGTCAATCAGAGAAAGACAAGTATCATATGATCTCACAGATATGTGGAATTTGACAAACAAGGCAGAGGATCATAGGGGAAGGGAAGGAAAAATGAAACAAGACGAAACCAGAGAGGGAGACAAACCATAAGAGAGTCTTACTCTCAAGAAACAAACTGAGGGTTGCTGGAGTGGAGGGGGGTGGGAGAGATGGGGTGGCTGGGTGATGGACATTGGAGAGGGTATGTGCTATGGTGAGCACTGTGAACTGTGTAAGACTGATGAATCACAGACCTGTACCCCTGAAACAAATAATATATGCTAATAAAAAAAAAAAGAAAAAAGAAAAAGAAACACAAATCAAGAAAGCCATGCGGTGGGGGGGAACCTAAGTTGGTAGCTATACTTACAATGAACCTGAAAAATAAATTAAGAAAACAATTCCATTTATAGTAGCATCAAAAAGGATAAAATACTTGGAAATAAAAATTTAATGAAAGACATGTAAAACTTATACTCTGAAGACTATAAAATATTGTTAAAGAAAGTAAAGAAGATCTAAATACATCAAAAAACATCTCATGTTCGTGGGTTGAAAGACTTAAAACACTGTTAAGATTACAATATTCCCCCAAATTTTTATCTACAGATTCAAATGCAACGCCTATCAGAATCCCAGCTGACTTCTTTGCAGAAATTGACAAGCTGATCCTAAAATTCTTTTTTTTTAATATTTTATATATTGATTGATCCTAAAATTCATACGGAAATTCAAGGGACACAGAATAGCTAAAATAATATTGAAAAAAAACAAAGTCAGAGGACACACTTCCCCAAGTCTAAAGACAAGCAACAGGAATCAAGACAGTATGATACTGGTATAAGACAAACTTAAAGATCAATGGAAAAGAACTGAGAATCCAGAAATAAATCCCTATATATTTTTTTAAGATTTTATTTATTTATTTGTCAGAGAGAGGGGAGAGAGAGCACAAGCAGGGGGAGTGGCAGGCAGAGGGAGAAGCAGGCTCCCAGCCAAGCAAGGAGCATGACCTGAGCCAAAGGCAGATGCTTAACCAACTGAGCTACCCAGGTGTCCCAATAAATACTCATATTTATGGGCAAATGATTATTGACAAGAGCGCCAAGACAATTCAGTGGGGGAAAGAACAGGCTTTTCAACAAATGGTTGACACAAACTGGATATCCACGTGCTAAGAATGAAATTGGACTCCTACTTCACATCATATACAAAGTTAACTCAAAATCATTCGCAGACCTAAGTGTAAGAGCTAAAACTCATAAAACTCTTAGAAGAAAACATAGGGGTAACTCTTGGTAACCTTGGGTTTGGCAACGGTTTCTCAGGTATAACACCAAAAGCAAAAGCAATAAGCTTTATAAGGAAGAACAGATGAAATGAATTTGAGCAAATTTAAATCTTTTTTTCCTCAAAGATATGAAAAATGGTTAATAAGCACATGCAAAGATGCTCAACATCATTAGCCAGCAGGGAAATGCAATCAAACCCACAATGAGGTATCACTTAACACCTGTCAGAATGGCTAGAATCAAAAGACAAGAAATAACAAGTGTTAGCAAGAATGTGGAGAAAAAGGAACCCTCCAGCATGATCGGTGGGAATGTGAACTAGTGCAGTCACTCTGGAAAACAGTATGGCGCTTCCTCAAAACATTAAAAATAGAACTACCCTATGATCCACTAATTGCACTACTGGGTATTTTACCCAACGAATACAAAAACACTAATTCAAAAAGATCTATGTACCACTATGCTTATTAGCATTATTTACAATAGCCAAGATATGGAAGCAACCCAAGTGTCCATCAACAAATTAATGGAGGGCACATGGGTGGCTCAGTCGGTTAAGCGTCTGCCTTCAGCTCAGGTCATGATCCTGGACTCCTGGGATTGAGTCCCACATCGGGCTCCCTGCTCTGTGGGAAGCCTGCCTCTCTCTCTCTCTCTGTGTCTCATGAATAAATAAATAAAATCTTTAAAAATAAAAATAAAAATAAATTAATGGATAAAGAAGATGTGGTATATATATGCAATGGAATATTACTCAGCCATAAAAGTGAATGAAATCCTGCCATTTGCAACAACATGGATGAACCTAGAGGGTATTATGTTAAGTGAAATAAGTCAGACAGAGAAAGACAAATACCATATTATTTTTTCCTTTCTTTTTAATGTTTATTTATTTATTTATTTATTTATTTTAAGTAACCTCTACACCCAATGTGGGGCTCGAGTCTCACGTGTGAGACTAAGAATTGCATGCTCAACAGACTGAGCCAGCCAGGTGCCCCCCATATGATTTCCCTTATATGTAGAATCTAAAAACACAAAACAAACAAATAAACAAATAAAAAGCAGAATCAGACCCATAAATACAGAGAACAAACTGATGGTTTGTAGCAGGTAGCAGGTTGTGGGGTGGGCAAAATGGGTGAAGGGCAGCGGGAGATACAGTCTTCCAGTTATGAAATGAATGAGTCACAGGGATAAAAAGCACAGCATAGGGTCAATGGTATTGCAATAGCATTGTACAATGACAGATCATAGCTGCACTTGTGGTGAGCACGGCATACCATATAGACTTGTCTGTACACCTGAAACTAATGTAACACTGTGTGTTAAATACACTTCAATTTTTAAAAAGATGGATATTAATATTTAAAAAATTTTTTTTAAGACAGATCAAAACAAGTGTTGGTGAGGGGCTCCTGGGTGGCTCAGTCAGTTCAAGTGTTGGTGAGGGGCGCCTGGGTGGCTCAGTCAGTTGGGCGTCTACCTTTGGGTCAAGTCATGATTCCAGAGTCCCGGGATCAAGCCCGCATCAGGCTCCCTACTCAGTGGGGAGTCAGCTTCTCCCTCTCACCCTCCTGCCTCTGGTGCTCTCTCTCTCCCACTCTCTCTCTCAAATAAATAAATAAAACTTAAAAAACAAAACAAAACAAGTGTTGGTGAGAACGTATAGAATACGGAAACATCACATACTCCAGATGGAAATGTAAAATGATGCAGCCAGCTTTGGAAAAGAGTCTTCCACAGTATCATTAAGTAGCCTAGTAGACCATTAATAGACTAAAAAAACATTTTCAGCCCTACTTACTATGGAAATGTTAATACATATTTAATATTCACTAGCCTTTAAAAAACTCTGCAGCAGTACTGTGCATTATAATTTTGTGAGTGGACAGTCTGAAAAGGATCACAATAACAAATACATCACTCTAAAAGCCACTGAGAGTAAAAAAGAAAAAAACCAGCTCCCTTGGGCTGCAAAATCCTGAGTCAACATGCTATATTTAATAGCCACAATAAAGAGATGCACCTAACCTTGGCAGTTTTAATCATTCTAACTAAAGTCAGCTGTGAAAAAATATTCATATGTATGATATACCTTTCCTTGGATCCTAAAGGACTCCGCAATCACTTGGTACTAGAAACTTTTCCAAATAAACTACAAGGATGCTGTATGAGTTGGTTCTTCCAAGTGTCTTTAAACATCTATATTTGAAGTTTTTATTATACAGATTATTTTTTTTATTTATGCTATCACGTTAAAACAAAAGTCATGGTCTTTGTTAAGCCAAACCTATTTCCAACAAAACTGCTAATAAAAGGTGCAGTGTAACTGGGATATTTTCACTTTCTTCGTTTTTTTTTTTTTATTTCTTTTTTTAAAGATTTTATTTATTTATTTGACAGAGAGAGACAGTGAGAGAGGGAACACAAGCAGGCAGAGTAGGAGAGGGAGAAGCAGGCTCCCCGCTGAGCAGAGAGCCCGATGCGGGGCTCGATCCCAGGATCCTGGGATCATGACCTGAGCCGAAGGCAGACGCTTAACGACTGAGCCACCCAGGCGCCCCCACTTTCTTGGTTTTTATAATGGGAAAGTTTTTCTAAAAAGGCAAAAGAAATTCTATCTTTTCTAATAAATAAGGTCCCCTAAATCTATGGCTTGCCAAAAATTAGTATCCAAGAATTTAAGTATTAAAAAATCCATAGTTGGGGCGCCTGGGTGGCTCAGTCGTTAAGTGTCTGCCTTCCGCTCAGGTAATGATCTCACGGTCCTGGTATCGAGCCCTGCATCGGGCTCCCTGCTCCGCAGGACGCCTGCTTCTCCCTCTCCCACTCCCCCTGCTTGTGTTCCCTCTCTCACTGTGTCTCTGTCAAATAAATAAATAAAATCTTTAAAAAAAATCCATAGCACTTAAACTTTAGATTCTGATCAACTGCAGTCATCAGAAGCGTATGTATTATGTCACCAATAAAAGTAAAGAAAGGTGAAATCTGATTGGCTGGTAATATTTAGGCATACTCCATGGAGTTTTGAAATCGGAGAAAAGCAAGAAAATCTTTGATCACTGATGCCATGTCGCTGATCAAAAAGAAGTGTCTCCAAATACTGTTGCCATCCAGTGCCCGTGATTTTTCAGAAGTAGTGGTTGTCTAAAAATTTTGCTTTGCTAATATTTCCGTAAGAAACTTCCCAGCAAATGGACAGTGAATCGCAAAAGTATCTCAGAAGAGGTCACAAATGCATAAATAACTAGAGAGAGAATAGAGAACGAAAAGTGGAAAAACAAAAATTTGAAAACTTGGAGGGGGCGAAGGGTTATTTAAAAGGTGTTTCAACGAAAGAACCTGGGCACCGTTCTTTCTCAACGAAACCTGCCTCTGAGGGAGGAGACTTTCAGACTTCTACGGCGCTTGGGTTGCACCAAAGTTTCAATATCCGCATGGAAAAGGGAGGCCGGTGACAAAACGAAACCCCCATGAGGCAGCTGGAAGCACCAGCTCCAGAAACACAGGATCTGACTTAGTGAGGTTCCGTCCGGCGTTCCCGCGCGTCCCTAATCCCCTGGCCCTTCTATCTCACGGGGGACCCCACTTCCCCCGGCCGTTCTGCGGGGTTCCCGGCACCGACCCCAGCCCCCTCCGGCGCCCTCCTCGGCTGTGCAGTCGCCCCAACCGCCCCCCACCCCACGAGCCGTCCCGCAGCGGCGCCCGACCCCCTACCCCTGGGCGGCGCCCCCTCTCCGCAACGGCGGGCTGGAGCGCGGGCGCGGCGGACAGTAGGGCGGGAGGGCGCCGCACCGCACCGTGCCCCGCCAGGCCGGCCCTCCACTCACTGACCAGCTCGAGAAAGCCCCGGTCTCCGGCGGCTAGCCCAGGGCAGGACTACCCAGCTTCGCTCCGCCCGGCCGCCGCCGCCGCCGCCGCAGCTCGGGCCTTTTGTTGTCGCGGGTTCTCCGGGCAACCGGCGAAACCAGTCCCGGACGCGCCCCCTCCCGGCCGGGCGCTCCGCCGCTCCCCAGACCCCGCCCCCGACGAGGCCCGTCCCCGGCAAGCCCCGCCCCCACAAGCCCCGCCCCAGCGGGCGGGGAGGCCAGCTCCGGGCGTGGCTACAAAGCCAACTCACTGGGACCTCTCGCAGAGTGCGGAACCAAAGTAATTACCCGCCGGTTTGCAAAATGAATGTGAGAAAGACTCACGTTGTTTCAGTATTTTTGCAGCCAATTCCATTTCTTTTTATTGAAGTAAAGTTCACATAACATACATCAAACCGTTTTAAGGTGTACATTAGGCATTCACAAAGTTGTGCAACCATCACCTCTGGTTCCAAAACATTTTCATCACCCCAAAAGGAAATCCCCGTGTCAATAAACAGTCACTCCCATTCCCCTCTCCCACAGTCCCTGGCAACCACCAGTCCGCTTTCTCTGTATCGATTTACCCGTTTGGGGCATTTTTGATTCACCAAATCATACAATTTGTGGCCTTTTGTGTCCGGCTTCTTTTGCTAAACAATGTTTTCCTCCTCCACCCATGTTGTAGCATGTATCAGTAATTTTATTCCTTTTTTTGCTTAATAATATCCCATTGTGTGGGCATACCACATTTTATTTATCAGTTCATCACTTGATGGACATGTGAGCTGTTTCCACTTTTTGGCTAATATGAATAATGCTGTTAGGAACTTTCACGTACCAGTATTTGTTTAGTATCTGTTCTCAGTTCTTTTGGTATAGACTTAGGAATGGGATTGCCAGGTCATATGATAATTCTATGTTTAACTTTTCCAATCTAGTTTTAAATGCCTTAATGCCCCCCCATTTTTAGTAGCACAATCCAAGCATTTTCTTCCAAGAGATGTTTCTTCTTCTTTTTTTTTAAGTAACTTTCAAAAAGCATCCCTTCTCTCATGAAACTTAGGAATGAAGGTGGGGGAAAAAAGCTACTTAGTTATTAAATTGAATTACAGGTATCCCCTGCTTTTCAAAAGTTCACACTATGCCTCTTGGCTGAAAAACTTACATTACTATCTCTTTTTGCTAAATGGAAGAAATCCAAAGAGGATTTTCGATTTTATGATAAAAGGTGAAAGCCAAAATAAGGTTCAGCGTTTATTTTGCAACCAACCCTTACAGAGGCAGTGGGCACCCCGGGAGAAGAGAGTCGCCTTCAGGGAAACCACACTTAGCACCTGGGCATCAAGCCGCCATAGTTTTGAGTGTGTCTGTGAGCATCTGTGCTTTATCTTGATTTATTTTGTGCATTTGTTAACAAGATGTGTCCTAAGGTATCAGAGAGGAATTACAACAGGTCATTTTTGGGGTTTGGGAATGGTCAAATTTTTCCATAAAATTTAATGGTAGTTGCTTCTTCACTTCACACCATTTGGCTTACAAAAGTTTTTGCAGGACCATGCTATTTTCAGGAAGCACCTGGCTCCAGGGGTCCCAAACAGACCAGTTCGGCCACTGGCCGCTGACAAAATCTGAAGGCAGAGAGACAAGTAGGGGTGAAACAGGAAAGGAATTTATTTCAGTGAGGCCAACACCGGAAAGATAGCGGACTAGCATCTCAAAGACTGTCCCCAAGGTGCTGAAAATGCTTCCAAGTTGATATAAGGAATATGTGCAGCAAAAGTGGTAGGATATGTGCAGGTGGGCAGTGAAAATCTAATCCACCATTTCTTGGGGTCAATCACATGGGATCTTGCTGGCTCAGGGCAGTTGTCATTGCTTGAGGGGGTAGGTTTTGTTCCCATCAGGGGATGCTTTGCCCACAGGATCCTTTGCCTGAGTTAAGAGATAAGTTGGAAAGAAGAACTTCATTAGAAAGTTTGAGGTCAATGGGGCACCTGGGTGGCGCAGTCGTTTTGGCTCAGGTCCTGATCTCAGGGTTGTGAGACCAAGCCCCACGTGGGGCTCCATGTCCGGAGCCAGGCTCTGTGCTTCAAGCCCGGAGTCTGCTTAAGACTCTCTCTCCCTCTGCCCCTCCTCCACCTCTCTCTAAAATAAATAAATAAATATAAAATAAATAAAGAAAAGAAAAGAAAGAAAGTTTGAGGTCAAAATGGAGGTAGTTGAAGTCCACGTTCAAAGCCATGGAGATATTACCTTTAATAGCTGAAACGAGAAACCGCTGTCCAGAGAGACACAATCTTGCTGAGGAGACCCTTTGGAGCCTACAGCTGGGTTTGAGTTGGTTGGTGCCCAGGCTTCAGAAAAAAAGAATAATATTGTTTATATGAGACCAGCAGAAGAATTATTTGACTGCTCTTGAAAAGAAATAAGTAAGATGGAGGGAGGGGAAGGTGTTGGGAAGAGGCTGAAGCAGAGAGGAGAGAGAAGACAGCTGGTAAGGGAGGTTCAGGAAGAACAGAAATGGCTAACAGGATCCTTAGGCTGTATGCTGAGAGGTGTGCAAAGTGAACCCTTCCTCCCTCTCTCTGGCAAAATCTTCAGTAAAGTCAGCATTGCTAACTGAGGCATTTGTGACCGAGGGTTTTTTGTAGGAACTTAAAGATATGCCAGTCCCCAAGTCCAGTCTAGTGCTGGACAAAACCAGAGATTGGCCCTGTGGACCTGGAAGGCAGAAGATTGGAAGAAAACTGAAGTCTGGCTTGCATGCCAATGGCATTTTGCTTCACTAATAAACCAAGCAATGCAAATTAAAATAATAAACCATTCTCACCTGTAAAGTTGACAGCAACTTTTCATAATGTAACCCACAAGCATTTAGCAAGAGTCACTTTTATACATAATCCCACCTCTTGTCATCTTCCTGAGAAAATAGATACATGGATAAAGAATGACATGCTTGGGGCACCTGAGTGACTCAGGTGGTAAAGCGTCTGCCTTTGCCTCAGGTCATGATCCTAGGGTCCTGATTCCAGCTCTCTGCTCAGCGGGAAGTCTGCTTCCCCTCTCCCTCTGCCCTTTCCCCCTTCCCACTTGTTCTGTCTCTCTCAAACAAATAAAATCTTTAAAAAAAAAGAATTGTGTGCAAGAATGTTTATTATACTATTTGTAATAGCAAAAACTTGGAAACTACATAAATGTTCAATGAAAGGGATTGATAAATTAATGGTACATTTATAAAATAATATTATCTATTCATTGAAACTCATGTTTACAAAAAATTGGTATAGGAAAATGCTTCAAATAAGGATACAAAATAATACCAAGTTTTTTCACCTGAAGAATTGGGATAAAACTCATCCCTACTTCACAGGGTTGTTGTGAGGTTTGAAAGTAGGAATAATTACTCAAAAATTGTTAGGTAGCTAGAATGACAATAATTTTTTCAATTTCGTTCAGGGAGAAATTCACATGTAAGAACACAAGATAGTAAAAATATTCAACAAAATTCACCAAAATGATAACCATCAGCAATACTGGGTTAAAGTCATTTTTATAGTTGAATTAATTAGTCTTGGTTCCAAGGAACAAAAACCAACTCTGGGTTACTTAAAAATAAAAAAAGACTTCGTTGAAAAGTTTATCATTAGTGTGCTTTATGTTACAAGTAAAAGAAACTCCAAATCAGATGATCTTGAATAAGAAAATATATTTCATATAAGTTCATACAGTTCATATAAGTTGAAGTGAAATGTGAAAAAAAATTGTCTTAGAAACAATGAAATGGGACAAATTCCCACATATTCATGGGCTTATTTGAGGGGTTCTTTATTCTCTTGCATTGATCAATTCTCCAGCATCCGCAGAGACCATGTTTTATTTATTTTTATGTCCACATTGTTGAGCATAGTCAGTATTTAATAGATAGTAAATATTAAGCTCATTGCAGAGATTCAGTAAGTGTCTACAGAAATTTAAAAAATCAAAACCAGAAAACAAGTAATTTGCTCAATGCTACATGGTTGGTAAGTGGCAGAGGGAAGACTGCAGCCTATGTGTGTTGGATGACAAAGTCAACGCTGCCTCCCGAAAGGCTGAGCTGAGTTGTGGCTTTCTACATAATGCATCGCTCTCCCTCACTCACTCTCTAACAGTTTATTTGCTCAAATCAGGATCCAAACATGGTCCGCATGTAGCACTGGGTTGATATGGCCTTTCATTCTCTCATAATCAGTAACAGTTACCCTCTGTCTTTTTCAAATTTGTGGTTAAATACACATTACATGAAATTTTCCATCTTAACCATTTTTAAGTGTACAGTTCAATAGTGTTGAGGACATTCACACTGTTGTGCAACCAATCTCCAGAACTCTCTTTATTTTGCAAAACTCTATACCCGTTAAACAACAACTCAAGGCTCTCAAGATTCATCCATGTTGTAGCATGTGTCAGAATGTCCTTCCTTTTTAAGGCTGAGTAATATTTCAGTGTATGGATAGACTACATTTTGTTTGTCCACCCATCTTCCATTGGACAATTAGGTTGTTTCCAACTTCTGACTATTGTGAGTAATGCTGCTATGAACAAGGGTGTGTACATATTTCTTCAAGATCCTGCTTTCAATTTTTTTGGATGTATACCCAAAAGTGTCATTGCTGGATCATGTAATAGTAATTCTATTTCTAATTTTTTGTGGAACTGCCATACTGTTTCCAGAGTGACTGCGCCAATTTACATTCCCACCAACAGTGCACAAGGGTTCCCTTTTCTCCACACCCATGCCAATTCCCGCCTTTAAAACACACACAGACAAACAAACAAATGATCTATTGAAAAAACAGTGCCCATTTGTCCTTTAGAACATCTCACATTCTTAGATTTGGCAATCGCATCTTTGTGTTGTCATTTCATTTTACCTTGTTCTTGTATTTCCTACATTTCCTGAAAACTAGTAGTTAGATCTAGATTCCTGATTAGATTCAGGTTCAATTTTTCTGCCAAGAATAATTCATACACAGGACTGTGTACTTCCTATTGCAACACACCAGGAGGCACATAGTGTCTGCATATCCCACTTTCAGTGTTGTTAAAAATTGCAAGTGAGGGGCGCCTGGGTGGCTCAGTCGTTAGGCATCTGCCTTTGGCTAGGGTCGTGGTCCTGGGGTCCTGGGATCGAGCCCCGCATCAGGCTCCCTGCTCCGCCGGAAGCCTGCTTCTCCCTCTCCCACTCCCCCTGCTTGTGTTC